TTTTTGTGTCTACATCCAAGATAAAGTTCTTCCATTACTTTACATGTCCGATAGTTATACCCCTTTTTTCTGTTAAAACATTCTATTTGAGTGGAACAAATCTGAAATACATGTATGTCACCTTTAGTTATGTTTTATTGAGACGAGGTCTCACTGTGTCGCTCAGGCTGGAGTGCAGTTGCATGATCTCTGCTCACTGCAACCTCCACCTCCTGGGTTCAAACAATTCTCCCGCCTCAGCCACCTGAGCAGCTGGGATTATAGGCACGCACCACAACACTTATTTAATTTTTGTATTTTTAGGTGAGATGAGGTTTCACCATATTGGCCAGGCTTGTCTGGAACTCCTGACCTCAAGTGATCCACCTGCCTCAGCCTCCCAAAGTGCTGGGATTACAGGCGTGAGTCACCGCTCCTGATTTATACTACCTTTAAACCTCCCAGTTACACAGGGTTATTGTTTTTGAGATTTTTAACTAATATTTGGTGAGGAAATTTTCAGTATTTTAGAAGTAGGGTAAGTACTTATTTTAGAGGGAAGGGAACAGTGTCTCTTTGATTTGAGGCCTTTTTGATACTAAGAGTGGTGCTGAAAATACAAATGTCTTGATTATAAAGCTTTAACCCTCTCCTGTTTATGCCCCCTTACCACAGATCCTTTTCTGTTGCTCAAAATTCATTCATTGCAGAGATTGAGAACCTATTTTCATGATGTCCTCATCTTGTCTTTTTTTCCTGGTCTGATTTTCCATCCTCTTTCATGAGGTGATGTTCAAGCTTTCCAAAGTCTTTGAGTAACAAGTTTTTATTGCCTTAAATTGTCAAGCATCTTTGGCCACCAGAAAGAAGGTGAACAGTGAACACTATTCACTGAAGACTTGGGGGTCAAGGAGAAGGAAGACGGAGGATTAGACTGGTAGGCTGAGAGAACACAGAGTATAAAGAGAATGATTACCATCCAAGGCAATCCAAGTTTAGTTTCGTTGTGCCCAATAATTTTGTCTTTGCAGTACTTCTATAGTTGCATGGTACTGGTTATTACAGAGTATCAGGGAACACTTATGGATGCTTGCTGATACATATGAGAGGACTAAAAAGAGAAAATTTTGGATTGAAAGCAATGCTAAAATTCCAATCTCCAGTCATTTTTGTCAAATACTTGCCTTTTATGGTAGACTACCTATATCATATGTTATACATAATTAAATATCTGATTTAGTTTCCATTACAACAATAAACTGATTGCTTGTATGGTCAGTTTATGTAGTTACACATTAAGTACTATCATTTGCTTATAATTGTAATCAGAGAACACATTTTCCTCATACTGTCCCTGGAAAAACATTGGTATCCATATTGTAGATTGGCTTTTATAATTGTATTGTTTTGTACTGCTCATTTGTATATACTGTGTTTTGACCTAGCTTGACACCATATTAGGTGATTGACTTTCTAACTACCTCTGCACCAGTAGTCTGAACAGTAGTTTGCCTCCTTTGTGGTAAGATCTCAGTACCATAAGGTCTTTCAGTACTAGGTTTGATGTTTGGAAATTCTTGAATTTCATATTAGAAAGTTACCTAATATCCATCCTTTATTTTGTTCTTAGTAATAATGCAGAGGTTTTTAGTAAAGTGTATAAACCTATAGAAGTGTACAATTACAAGTCTACTTTCAATTATTGATTTTTGTTAAGTCATTGTAATAAATTAACTGGGTGTGGTGGCACATACCTGTAATCTCAGCTACTTGGGAGGCTGAGGTAGGAGAATTGTTTAAACCGGGGAGGAGAAGGTTGCAGTGAGCCAAGATCGCGCCATTGTACTGTAGCCTGGGCAACAAGGGTGAAACTCTGTCTCAAAAAAAAAGAAAAGAAAAGAAAAAATGCTATTTGTGGAATCTGTGCTTATTTGCCTTTTATATGAATGAACTATTGGAAAAACTTTTCCTTTTTTTTTTTTCCTTCTTCCAGAAATTCACCTCTGGCATGTAAATTCACCCTTTCCATGTTTAGATAAACTTCTAAAATTCTGTATCTGGCCAGTTAGGCCCTTGGGGTTACCTATTATATAATATATGCAAATAATTAATTTCCCTTGTTTTGGTTGCCTAAATTTTCAGGTTGCTAAAAGTTTCATGAATATACCCTGCATGCAGAATGTTAAAAAGCCCCTGCTGTTTTATTTAAAGGTTATTGAGATCTGAATTATTTTTATAATTAGTTTTACTTCAGAATTGTTTCTGTCTTGTTTCTGGCTCTCTTCTTTGCTTACAGAATGTCTACTGCTTCTGCTGTAGGTGTTTTCTACTGCTACTCGTTCCTTTTCTTTCTCTTTTCTTCTGAGTTCCTTTTGGTTCATGCCTACCTCTGGCTCTCAGGCCAAGTGATTTAGAAACATTTCTCTTTAGGATAAATACTGCTTTCTTTGTGCTCTGAATTGGCTGGTGGAAACATCCTGTGGTAACCTTCGTGTTGCTTTTTTCTTAAAAGGTTGGTGATTCAGTTTTGCCAAAGAAGATAATTAGGCAGTTTTTTTGTTAGTTTGTTTGTTTGTTTTTTTGCACTTTCAGATCACTATTTTGCTTGACTTCTTGAGACAGACCTTACTGGAAAAAAATCTCTTTTAAAAAACAATTGTGGCCAGATAATGAACTCCTGGGTATTGCTTGTGTTTTAATGAAAATATCCTACTGGTCAAATGGCTTTTTATGGCAAAACGAATACCCCAACACAGATGCATATTCTGTAAGATTTGTAAACTCCCATTTTCCACATCTATAACACATGGTAATATCAGATGCATATGATGTAAAAACAATAGTTCATATTTATTAGAAATTTTATTAAAAAATATTGTGGACAGACTCAAAGTGTAGAACTATCAGCCCATTTAAGCATGTTTTCTTTTACGGAGCAATACTTTTTTTTAGCAAAAAGTAATGAAGAGGACACTAGCATGGAGAGATAAAATTGAGAAAAATGGCATGCTTAGAGCATAGCCATTACAAAGTCAAAGTCCTTTCAGGGGCCTCATGTAATTAGGTAGGTTGAGTGACTTGATTTCTCTTATTTTGAGACTTTACTTTTGCTTTTTAGCTTTTTTTTTTTTTTTTTTTTTTCCTTTTAAGTTGGGAAAATAGGGGGTCTATCACAAATTTAAAGGGGGAAAAAAAAAAAAAAAAAAAAGAAACATGCAAGTATGGAAAATCATTCCTTTGGGGAAAAAAATGCCTTTTGCTGTCTTATGTAGCCTCAGCCAAGGAAATGTGTCCCATATGTTAGTTAATATATTTGAATTATTAGAAGACTCCTACTCATATGAAAGACTGCTTTGTTAACATGTAAGTCTTTGTAAAATTGTGACAAAATCAGATTCATAGCTAGATACTTAGAATATCTATAAAACCTTAGCTTATGGTAATTTCCTATAACATATTCCATATTAAACTACAGCATACCTTACTCTGTTTATACTTACATGACTGGTTCTTTTTTCTGCTCTCTAAAGAGAAAAGGGTATGTCTAAAGCAATACTTGTGTATCTTTTGTCAGTTTCTGCTATAATTTAAGGTAAGATTTCTTCTTACTAATACTCTGCTATAGTTGGGTATGAGGCAGGTTGCAGGGCTGAGAGAGATGCTGTAAATCTGATTTAGGAATTGTTGGTTTATATCTGATGAGCTTTATAAAAATCTCGTATCTACTAAATCGGAATCTGTGAAAGTAGGACACTTGAATTCGTCTCATTATTGTTGCCCAGGCTGGAGTGCAGTGGCGCGATCTCGACTCACTATAACCTCTACCTCCCAGGTTCCAGAAATTCTCTTGCCTCAGCCTCCCGAGTAGCTGAGATTACAGGTGCCTGCCACCACACCTAGCTAATTTTTGTATTTTTATTAGAGGGCAGGGTTTCACCATGTTGGCCAGACTGGTCTCGAACTCCTGACCTCAGGTGATCTACCACCCCCCTTAGCCTCCCAAAGTGTTGGGATTACAGGCATGAGCCATTGCACCCGGCCTCAAATTTGTATTTTTAACCAGATCTTCAGCTATGTTTTTTTTTTTTTTTTTTTTTTTAATGGCGAGATCAGGAGTTAGGAATTACTGCCAACCTGTAGAATAAATATAGTACACAGTATAAACATACGACTTCTGCTTTCTTCAGACAACTTTGGACTATGCGTACAGATTCCTCAGGATATATAAATTTATTCTCCTGCCTATTTGTGTAGGTAAACAAGTTTAAGAAAAAATACTATAGGATATTTATTAAATTATTAGGGCAAAGGAAGAAAATAATGGATTTATTACCATTCAAAACATTGCTGAGGCAAGATAGAGAAAGGAAAAACAGTGTTACAAGAATTGAGTAAAAGGAAAAGGAGAGTAGAACAGCAAGCAGCTGGGAGACTTGGTCAGCTTTTGTATTTTTTGTCTAGGCACATAGTTATTTACAGATTAACAGCTAGTAACTTGTGCCTGTCATAATGGATGTGTGAGTTTAGAGGAGGTGGAATATATAGCAATCATTTCCCTTTGCACATGCACCTTAGAGCTAACATTGTTACAGATAGTAGTAGTAGGAGTATTCATACCACGTGTCATTCATATTTTCCCAAAATTGAATATTTTTGTTTAGAATTTTAACATACTTGATTTTTATATACAGAGAGCAATGAATAGAATTTGAAAAAATGATTCTTACAGTGAAAAAATATGTAGTAGTTTAGAATTTTTAAGGAGAATTTATCAAAAATAACCAAAATAAAAAATAATTTGGATTCTTTTCCCTACTACGCGGTTACTCATTCAGTGAAACTAGTACTTACTGAGTTAATGAGAGTAAACAAATAAGCAGTTGTTTATCATGTTCCTAGCACTGATTTTGGTTTGTTTTTATTTTGTTTTTGTACAGTCAATACTTGTTATATGTGGAGACTATTTTAGTTTTTGGTAATAGAGAATATTTGAGTTTTAATGGAATTTTATTCTCTCTTAGGTCATGTTTACTGGTGAAAATATTCCTGTTCATCCTCATGTTTATAGCAATGGTCATATCTGTTTATCCATTCTAACAGAAGACTGGTCCCCAGCGCTCTCAGTCCAATCAGTTTGTCTTAGCATTATTAGCATGCTTTCCAGCTGCAAAGAAAAGGTAGGACTTTTCAGAATTATTCCAGAAAATATCTCTTCTCTCACTTTAGGTAGATAAACAATTTTAATATGTAATTATTTTTATTTGGAGGAAAGACTTAGGCTTTTTATTTTAAAACTATAGGGAATTTCATGTTTAATAATAAATTGGAAAGTTATTTTGATACCTTTCATTCCAAATAGAAGTTTTAAATGTTGAATGAGGTAGAAGCCAGACTTACTGTTTCATATTTTTTTAAACAGGAAATGTGTGCACATGTTCTTAAATAATCTAATTTTATTCCCAGAAGCATGCACAGGGTAAAAGTGTACAAGAAATTCTTTTTGTGGATTTCACAGTGGAAAGCCTCAGAAATATGCATCATAGCTTCCTTCTCCCCTCTGCCAGCTCCCACCCTACCAGCATGTTTCATAGAATTTTTCAGGAACCGGAGTTTTCCTATCCTCATAATTAGGTTGAAGGAGGAAGACCAATTTACCAGCAGAATTTTCAGGACGTTTCTTCCTGTTCTCCTTTATTAATTCACAGATTCTTTGTCTGTCTAATGGAAGTGGGGGCGGGGGAAAGGGTGGAAAACAGAAAGAAAAAATCATTTCCTAAATTTAAAATATAGGCTGGCTTCCATGGCTCACGCCTGTAATCCCAGCACTTTGCTGAGAGGCCGAAGGAGGCAGATCACCTGAGGTCAGGAGTTAGAGGCCAGCCTGGCCAACAAGGTGAAACCCGTCTCTTCTAAAAATACAAAAATTAGCTGGGTGTGATGGTGTGCACTTCTAATCCCAGCTGTGTGAGAGACTTGTAGTAGGAGAATCGCTTGAACCCAGGAGGCAGAGGTTTCAGTGAGCCAAGATCGCGCCACTGCACTCCAGCCTGGGTGACAGAGTGAGACTCCATCTCAAAAATAATACAGTAAATCTAAAATACATCCATTAATTTAGGATACCCTTTAAAGGTGTCTGAATCCTCTGTGCATTTCTGGTCCTCTTGTCATTCCTGTTTGAGGGTTAGTATAGCATAATATTCATGTATTTCTACATTTTAAAATCCCTCTTAAATCCCCATGAGGGTTTCCATTTGCATTCTGTTTAAAGGAAAAACAAATTTGCCCTAGTAGTTAGGGAGCTATTTGTGTTTTGCAGTTTTCTTCTCTGTTCTCCAAATTGAACTGATTGTCATTTTTATTAAATTAGTATTTGGAGAACATTAAAGATAATAGTTCATTTTAAAATGATAGGTTATTTAGAACCTGAAGCACTCTAAGCCACAGCATATGAAATAATGGGTTAAATTGCGCTTTTTTTTTTTTTTGAGGCGGAGTTTCGCTCTTGTTACCCAGGCTGGAGTGCAATGGCGCGATCTCGGCTCACCGCAACCTCCGCCTCCCGGGTTCAAGCAATTCTCCTGCCTCAACCTCCTGAGTAGGTGGGACTACAGGCGTGTGCCACCATGCCCAGCTAATTTTTGTATTTTTAGTAGAGACGGGGTTTCACCATGTTGACCAGGATGGTCTCGATCTCTTGACCTCGTGATCCACCCGCCTCGACCTCCCAAAGTGCTGGGATTGTAGGCGTGAGCTGCCGTGCCTGGCCTGCTTCTGTTTTGTTTTTACTCATTTGTTGCTTATTGCTTTTATATTTTCTCCTCTCACCCACCCCAACACACACAAGTATTAAACTTCTCTGCGTAGGGCAAAGCAGTTAGTGGGTACAAGGCCTTCTATGTTCCTGTTACGCTTTAAGTCTATAGAAAGGTAAGATGGTAACAACAGGATTTAATAAGAAAGTTATGAAGATGTGAACGTCAGCGATACCTGTGTATAGTCTTGCATGTGCCTCATGATTATTAGATTTTGTTTACATTTAAATGTATTTTTATTAAAAACTAGAGAATGACCATATTCTCTGTATGCTTCCTTCATCATCATCTAACCTTCACTATTCCCCTTACATTCTAATCGTCTGCTAGTAGTGTTTCTTGCATACTTAGTATAAGACTAATCATTCCATTTAAAGCACTAATAAACTATATTTTTACTGCTACCATTGTATAATATGTTTAACCAAGATGATCTGGAAGTCAAGATTTCCATGAAATATGATAAAATTCAAAAAGTTTACTAGTATGTGCTATTTTTACTGTGCCAAGTGGTAAGTTACAAAGATGAAAAGGAAATTTTCTTTGGCATTGAGGGGATCTAGCTCAAAAGAAACCTTAAAAAGTCTTTTAGGCAAGGTGCATTGGATCACTTGAGGCCAGGAGTTTGAGACCAGCCTAGGCAAAATGGCTAAACCCCATCAACTAAAAATAAATTAGCTGGGTATGGTGGTGCATGCCTGTAGACCCAGCTACTTGGGTGGCTGATGCACGAGAATTGCTTAAACCTAGGAGGCCAAGGTTGCAGTAAGCTGAGATCGCACCACTGCACTCCAGCCTGGGCAGTAGAGCAAGACTCTGCCTCAAACAAAATAAAACAAAACAGTATTTTAAATACCCACTTACACGTTTTACTATTAAAATGGGTAAATTTTATTCTGTAGTAGACAAGGTTCTATGGGCTTTACTTTATGATTCTATTACTATTAAAATATTTTACTTTAGGTGTTTGAGACTTTAGTCATCATTCTTTTATTCCAATTCCCTTTTGCACAATCAGGAGTGGTTCCATGGGCTGAAGGTATTTAAATTCAGTATGTCATTAGATTACAGTGGATTAAAGATAATTTCTGATAGTTTGATCATAGGCCTTTCAGTAAATGCCACTTTACTTGCATGCCTTTATAATACACGTACATCGTTCACACTTTTCAGTTTGTATCCCGTTCCTAAAACAATTTCATAAGATTTCTTTTGTATAGTTTCTTTTCTAAGAACAGTATCTCCCTGATCACTTATCAGGGAGATAGGTGATTTAAGCAAATGAGAATGAGTATTTTTTTCTAAATATTTTTTGAAGACTTTTCTGATGATTCTTGGGTTCTAATCAAGATATACATAAAATGAATTTGTGAAATTATTTGCTGTAGTAGTACCAATTCCATATGAACATAGATTTGACTTTGCAGAATCATCCCTTCCTTGAAGAATCTAATTTCATAATATTAATTTTTTAGGAATTTTCTCTAATTGTGTGCCCAGATTAACTTGGGATACTTTAATGTCTTGTGCTGTAACATTTTTTTTTGTTAAATGAAATTAATATTAACACACAGGGGCATTATGAGGCTCAACTAGGATGATAGTTGTATATATGAGTTTTAGAAGTGTCAAATTGACTTGCTGTTTTCCGTCCTGCTATCACAGAGTCCTACTCACCATTGCTTTCTGGTTAGACTTTCCTTAAATGATGTCATACCAAACTCACTTATTTTCATTAGCCTCAGGTAGAGGAAAGGATTCCCCTAATCTCTCATTTTCATTGGCTTAGCTAAGCAGATTTAAGTCTGAAAATAAATGCTATGTATACACTATAAAATATTTAAGGATAGGAAAATAATTAAGTTATCAGGATAATTCTGAAAGTAGGCATAAAGGAGACTAAAGGATAAGGTTAGCTATCATATCTATAAACTTTAATGTAGCTCTGATACAAATTTGACGTTTCCAAGTCTGTGTAGAGAGTAACATTTTCTTTTGTATAGTTAGTATTCAATAGATTTCAAGAAAAATCTCTTCCATAATATATCTTCAGTGTTGTTGGCATCACTTTATCTGATGTAGCTCCCTTGCAGAGCTGCCATATATTTCTCATACTGTTCTAGTCAGGGCGTAAGTACAGCAGAGAGGCCAATTATAGTAGAAATGCCAATATATATTTTTTCCCTTTTTTTCTCAAGTATTGTTTAGAAACTGAATCTTCTGGCCTATCTTTGATGTTATTCTGTTATAGTAAAAAAATAGTTCTTTGTGGAGGTTTGCACATTGCTTGACTTCTTTAGGCAAATCTAGTTTAGTAGGCTTTTCTGTTTTTTTGTTTTGTTTATTTATGAGACAGAGTCTCACTTGTCACGTAGGCTGGAGTGCAGTGGCGCTATCTGGGCTCACTGCAACTTCTGCCTCCTGGGTTCAAGCAATTCTTCTGCCTCAGCCTCCCAGGTAACTGGGATTACAGGTGCCCGCCACCACGCCCAGCTATGTTTTTTTGCATTTTTAGTGGAGACTGGGTTTCACCATGTTGGCCAGGCTGGTACTCCTGACCTCAGGTGATTCACCTGCCTCAGCCTCCCAAAGTACTGGGATTACAGGCATGAGCCACTGTGCCTGCCAGTTTTGTTTTTTAATAGAGATGAGGTCTCAGTATGTTGCCCAGGCTGGTCTTGAACTCCTGGGCTCAAGTGATCCTCCCACCTTGACCTCCAAAAGTGCTAGGATTACAGACTGAGCTACCTCACTTGGATTGACTTTTAATGAGCTCACAAAGGTATTTATTAAATTATTTCCAGGGAACTAGCAAGATACATCAAACCAAAATTCTTTGCAACTCAATGTTGCCCCTTCTGGTGTAATCGTCATTCTCTCCTGATAACACTGGAACCTAACACAGATCACACACAAACACCCTTATTATTATTTTTTAATTTAGGTGTTAAGCATCTACATTTCCTGGAATACATTTTTAGTTTTTATTCTTTTAGATATATTGTCCATGTTTATGTTGTTTTTTATGCATTTTGTGTTAATTTTGCTTAAGCTTTTATTAGAACTGTCTCCCCCTTAGTTTTACTGTTTTTTGACTTGTCTATTTAAATTCTTTTTTGTTTCAGAGACGACCACCAGATAATTCTTTTTATGTGCGAACATGTAACAAGAATCCAAAGAAAACAAAATGGTGGTATCATGGTAAGCAGTTCGAATTTGTAATTTTTTAGCATTTTGATTTGAAGACTATGTTTGCTAAGACTTGGGGAAAAGAAGGGAAGATATAATTGGTGTTACACTTATGTAATATGAAGAAAATTATTTAAAATACTCTGACATATTTAATGGATGAATTACACTAGATTTTTAATGGGGCAGACAGAATCATAACCATCATAAAAGTAAAATGTAAAATTACTTTGATATTCTGAGACTCTACCATTTATTACAAAAAATAAGTCCTTAATAATCTTTAGATCAAATTAGAACTAGTTACTGGGAGCGCAGCCATGGTGGCTTCATCTGTAATCCCACCACTTTGGGAGGCTGAGGCAAGCAGATCACTTGAGGTTAGGAGTTCAAGACTAGCCTAGTCAAGATGGTGAAACTCCTTCCCTACTAAAAATACAAAAATGAGCTGGATGTGGTGGCATGCACCTGTAATTCCAGCTACTCTGGAGACTGAGGCATGAGAATCTCTGGAGCCCTGGAGGCAAAGGTTGCATTGAACCGAGATTGCACCACTGTACTCCAGCCTGGGTGAATAGTTACTGGGAAACCTGTTGTTTGAAATAGAAGTTTTGATGCCTTGTGTATTCATTTAGTTCTGGTACTATTCATGGCTGGGGGGAGGGAGAATCACAGTAAGTTAGAGGTACCTCCTCAAATTAAAGAAAGCTCCCTATTCTAGTTGTCTGGGCTATAGTTCGTAATGTACCGATCAGTGCATATTTTGATTTAGATGCTCATCCTGATCATAGAATAGAGTAGACAGTTAGGTTCGATATGGCTAATATAAATAAGAGGCCTATATAAAAGAGTATTGTCTTTGAGTTTTTTGTGTGTGGGATTTTTTTCCTTAATGTTAACCTGATACAAAATTATAACTAGCAAAAACTAATTCAGCTATGGCCTTCTCCACTTATCTTCTTCTATCCAATGTGAAACCTTCTGTATCCTCACCTAAGTTGAGTAGATTAAAAACTTAAGAGTTACTCAGGTATTGAACTGGTGTAGCTAACCAGAGTCAGTGCAATAGAACTATGCCAGAAGTTACAAATTAGAAAACACAAAGAAATATGCTGTTCCTGAGAGACAGGAATGTGAAAATTTAGGCTAATATCAATGAGAAACACATATGACTTAGAAGAAGGTGACAAAACTTTAAGAGCTGTGAAATAAAAATACGTATATTTTACAGGTTCAATGGAGTTCATTAAAAATTCAGTAAATGATTGCAGGGTGGGGAGGGAGATAGGTGTTTGAAAAGTTTGGGAAAATATAGTAGACGAGAAGAGTAGTAGAGTTTCAATTTTGAAACATAAAGGTAATGGGGGAGAATTAATCTATCAGACAGGATACTAAAACTTATTAATGGAAGAATAGATCACTGAAATACAATTCCTCTTATTTAGATCTTGTGTATATAACATTTGAATATATGATAAATAAGGCATTACAAATCAGTGAGAAGGGGGAGGATTATTTAGTAAGTAATCATCTTGGAAAACTGGTAATCCTTTGGGGAAAGAAATAATATTTTCACTGCATAAAATATTTCCTGTAGATTCAGTATTTATATTTATTTTTTATTTATTTTTTGAGATGGTGTCTCACTCTGTTGCCCAGGTTGGAGTGCAGTGGTGCAGTCTTTACTCACCATATCCTCCAATTCCTGAGTTCAAGCAGTTCTCCTGACTCAGCCTCCCTAGTAGCTGAGATTACAGGTACAGCACCATGCCCGGCTAATTTTTGTATTTTTAGTAGAGACAGGGGTTTCGCCATGTTGGCCAGGCTGGTCTTGAACTGCTGACTTCAGGGTGATCCACTCGCCTCGGCCTCCCAAAGCACTGCAGTCACAGGCGTGAGCCACCGCACCTGGCCTAATATTTTTAAAATACCACAAAAAAATGTTTTTTCCAATGTTGAGTATCAGCTCCCTGGAGGAAGGAAGAATTTCTGAATTTAAAAGGAATCACAAAGAAATTAAACCTTCAGTTATATGAAAATGTACAACTTTTATAACTTTAATAACTTTAAACCACTATCATTATAAACTTTGAAAAAATTGTGAAATGTTTATAGCTTATTAAAAATAAAGACTTTATGAAAGCTGTTTATGGATAAATGACAACATAGGCAAAAAAGTGCAGCTTAGTAAAATAATTACCAGTTTAAGATTTTGAAACTCATTTTCTGAATCTGCAGAGTTTTATAAAACAAATGCTATACTGAAGGAGAGTAAAGAGTAGAATAAAAGTGTTTTCATACTTGCTGGTGATATGTAGCAAGTTCGTATAACCTTTAAGGAAGCAGTTTAGCAATATTTAGCAAGCTTGAAGTTCAAGAGCAAACCTTTTGTTTCAGTTATTAAACTTCAGGAAATCTGTCCTTAAAAAAATAATGCTTAAGAAAAGTTTAATTTGCGAAATATTCAGTGTAGCACTTTATTATTATATACTCAATTTCTTAGTCTGCCATCTGTTACCTCTACGTGTGCTATTTGCCTGGAATTAATTCTGCTACACACACAACTCTCTTCTTAGAAGCTCTTTCAGCAAAGTCTTGTTAAGTACTCCCTCCTTGGAGGAACCTCATACACTTTGTTAAGGTGCCTGGAATGCTGGTTTTGCTTTCATTTTTAAGATACCCCCAGATAATTCTGATGTAGCTAGTCATATGAGAACTATTATTTCTGAGATTATTTGACAAAGTTTCCAAATAGACTCATTAATAAACAGGCTTAATTCTTACTGGACACTGAAGTTCCCTTCAAATTGTTAATAAACCCGACTTTAATTAAGTGGCCTTTTACTTCAGTTTACATTGCTGGCTTCTCATTCTTTTTACCGTCTCTTGCCTTTTAGGACCAAACGTTAAGCCTCTTCACTCCATGCCTCCACAAAAAAGCTTTAGGAAAAAAAAAAAATCCTGAGTGTCAGAGACCCCTCTATCCTACTGTAGTAAGTTACCACATTCATCAAAAATTAAGATTAGCCAATTAGGAATCTTGACAAACATACTTTTTATTTTTTTTCTGAGATGGAGTTTCACTCTTGTTGCTCCAGCTGGAGTGCAGTGGCGCGATCTCTACTCACTGCAACCTCTGCCTCCTGGGTTCAAGCGATTCTCCTGCCTCAGCCTCCTGAGTAGCTGGGATTACAGGCATGGGCCACCACGCCCAGCTAATTTTTTTGTATATTTAGTAGAGGTGGCGTTTCTCCATGTTGGTTAGGCTGGTCTCAAACTTCCAACCTCAGGTGATCTGCCCGGCTAGGCCTCCCAAAGTACTGGGGTTACAGATGGGAGCCACTGCTCGTGGCCAGCCAAACATAATTATTTTTTAGTGTCAAAGTTAAGACTCCACTAATTCTGGTTCAGATTCAGTCTTACTAGTAATAGAAAAATTCTTTTCCACAAGTGTTTTTAAACCACCTTGAGATTTTTCATGCAATTTGAGAAGACATTGTTTAATTTTTTATTATGTATATATTTTTTAAAATACACCCCCCTCTCCTATTTTCTCACCCCATTGTTAGGGGATATTCCTATTTTTCCTTTATTTACTACTCCCTAGTAGAGAAAGTTCAAAAAGATAATCGGTTTTCTAGCCCCTCTAATGCTGGCTTATATGGTTGAAAGGATTTATAAGGAGTCTTTCATCTAAGAATACTTCAGAGTTTTGGCCAGACCCAGTGGCTCATGCCTGTAATCCTAGTGCTTTGGGAGACCAAGGCAGGCAGATCACCTGAGGTCAGGAGTTTGAGACCAGCCTGGCCAACATGGCAAAACCCTCTCTCTACTAAAAATACAGAAATAAACTGGGCTTGGTGGCAGGCACCTGTAATCTCAGCTATTCCAGGGGCCAAGGCAAGAGAATCGCTTGAACCCACTGGGCAGCAGAAGTTGTAGTGAGCTGAGCGAAGATCACGCCACTTCACTCCAGCCTAGGCAAAAGCTTGAGACTCTGTCTCAAAAAAAAAAAAAAAAAAAAATCTTCACAGTTTCTTCCTACTGCTTTTGAATAAGAAATGGGGAAAGATAAAACCAGAAATACAAGGATTAGTTCTTTAAATTACAATTTATAATAGAAGTTATTTTTCTCAGAGTTAACAGTTTTTACGTTACTGAGAAATCCACACTTTCATGACAGAAGTATAAAGTTCTTTTTAGTAGTCTGGAGACACAATTTTCAAGTGAGCCGAGAAGTACCAAAAACAAAACAAAGGCTTTCAAACCAAATTAACCTTTTACATAATATAAAATAGTCTGACGTTCATACAGTAATTCGTTTTTCCTATAAACTGACTGAAGGTATCACTTCTTCATTCACCTCTCCCCACCAATGCAAATAAGCTATTTTTAAAAGGCACTTGGATTCTTATTCACCTAAATTATGACTGTTCTAGTCCAGTCCCCAATCTTGAGTACATATAATTATTTTTTTCATTTACAGATAATTCTCTTTAAAATATCTTTGGTTTATTGACTTGGAATGACCATTCTTATCTCTTTTCTTTTCTTTCTTTCTTCTTTTTTTTCTTTTTCTTTTTTTTCTTTTTTTTTTTTTTTTTTTTTGAGACAGTCTCGCTCTGTTGCCGGGCGCTAGGCTAGAATGCAGTGACGAAATCTTGGCGCCTCCCGGCTTCAGGCAATTCTCCTGCCTCAGCCTCCCAGGTAGCTGGGACTACAGGCGCACGCCACCATGCCCAGCTAATTTTTTTTGTATTTTTAGTACATACGGGGTTTCACCATGCTGGCCAGGATGGTCTCGATCTCTTGACCTCTTGTGACCTTCCCGCCTCAGCCTCCCAAAGTGCTGGGATTACAGGTCTTATCTCTTAATATATATTTTCTCCTCTTCCTTGAACACTGAATGTTTGAATCATTCCCCTCCACCATTCTCCCTTTAAGGGACAACTTTGTTTTGAAAGTGACTTTCATAACAGTCGAAGAATGGTAATATTTGTTATACATCAAGATGGTAAAGCAGTTGTTCTATCATCCAACTAGGATGGCTGCAGAGAATATCCTTTGAACTTTTCTTTCACTTTTAAAAAGCTAATGCATTTCAGCTGTGTAGCACATACTGTCTTCTTTTTATATATCAGAATAGCAGTCACAGGCAATGTGAATAATAGCTTTTCCTGGCATTATAGATGAATTTAGAGCATTATAGATAAATTTGGATAATCTTATCAAAGATAATGATACCTTTATAAAAAGCCTAACACATTAATTTTGTTTATTAGAACTTTCCACAAGTCAGCATACCTTTGTCTGCTTAGCTGCTTTAGTTCCAGTGTAACACCAAGTTACCAAGAAATACAGACTCTTGATGTTTCTTAGCATCATCTAATTTTCAAAAGATTACAGAACAGGCCAGTTTCCTTATGTGACCTTCAAGGCAGAAAGATCAGAGACTGAACAAAGGCTTACTAAGAATTGGATAAACTCACTGAAACACTTAGCATTTCAATTTCTAGAAACTTAGTGGAATTGTATGCCTCAGGTCTCAAGGTCCACAGTCTTCCTGTGTGGTGTTTCCCAACATACTTGCGTCAAGGTGGGTCACTGTTTGTCAGATCTAAGCAAAGAGGCAAGAGAGGTTTTGGCTTAGATTAGTGACTATATATATACTCCAAAGGGGACTTCCTGGATACTGGATGCAGGATGGAAGCACAGCTAATGAAAAATAACAAATCTGAAATTTACTTCATTTCCTGGTTTTGTAAGAGGAGGAGGACTCTGCTGACATGCTAAAGCTGAGCTACCGGATACCAGTGTTAAACTTCTTGGGAGAGACCTCTCTCAGCTTAAATTTGTGGTTTTCTAGATTATTAGTTAGAATCCCTTAAGAATTAGGCCAGTCACTGTTTACCCCACTGTTACTGTCTTTATATGCATCATACTTTGTATTTATTTATTTATTTTTGAGGTTCTTACTTAGCACACAGTGATTTGTTACAATGTAAAAGTCACCCCATTAGTGTTTAGAGGTCTTTGGATATATTAAATAAAAGGTTGTCTTGATAGTAGCTGCACATTTCTTTATTACTTGAAGTTGACTATCTCTCAACAATATTCCAGAATTCTTTTATAGTTTCTATTCATTAATGAATTGAAGTCACAACTGCTTTGAAATGCAAATATATTCATTACCAGTTAAGGCAGTAGGGGAGTGGAGGGGATTCTTAGGCTTTGAATAATCAATTGAGCAGGGAGAATAGGGTTCAAAAAATAAAGAAGCCTAACCAAAATAGGTATTCGAAGTAGATGGCTCACCTCAGCATATAGATGGACTGAAGAATTTTCTTATGATTCAGGGCTAGAATCTTCCTTAGAAAACAGATCTGCATACAGTTCCATGCACAAATGAATGAGACCTCAAAGTTCTATATCATAAAACAGACACAATCATTGTTTTTGAGAAAGTTAGAAAGTATATCTCTTTGTGAGACCATAAAAATAATTTCAGTGAGGTAGCCAACTAAAATCCATTATTTATATTGATCTATTTGTTTTCTGAGGTCAGTCTCGGGCTTATACAACTTAAATTCATAAATGATTTGCTTCCCACAGAGGGGAGAACAGACCTGTGGCTGGAACCATTCTTTTTAAAGTTTTAGAAAATTGAATGGTTGGTTATAAACTGTAGGTTGAATATCCCTTATTTGAAATGGTTAGGACCAGAAGTGTTTTGGATTTCAGTTTGTTTTGTTTTATTTTGTTTGAATATTTGCATGTGCATAATTAGCTGTCTTGGGGTTGGGAGCCGAATCTAAACATGAAATTTATGTATGTTTCACATATACCTTAAACACATGATCTGAGGGTAATTTTACACAAAACTTCATTTATTTTTTGAGACAGAATCGCACTCTGTCACTCAGGCTGGAGTGCAGTGGTGCGATCATAGTCACTGCAGCCTCAACCTCCTGGGCTCAGGTGATCCCCCCACCTCAGTGTTTCAAGTAACTGGGACTACAGACAACATACCACCATTTCCCGCTAATTTTTTTTATATTTTGGGAGGGGTATAGATGGGATTTCACCATGTTGCCCAGATTGGTCTCAAACTCCTGGACTCAATCAGTCTGCCCACCTCAGCCTCCCAAAGTGCTGGGATTGCAGGCATGAGCCACTGCACTTGGACCTATACAGCATTTTAAGCAATTTTTTGCATGAAACAACATTTTAACTGTGACCTGTCACATGAGGTCAGGTCTGGAATTTTCCAGTTTAGGTGTCATGTTAACGCTTAAAAAGTGTCAGATATTGGATTAGGGATGCTCACCCTGTGTAACTTAAGGCTGCTGTTGAAGACTGGCTTCAGAGACCTAGGCTTATAGGAAATGAATTGGCATAATGTTTAGATAGCATGTCCAACAAAATGATGAATCTGTAATTTGGGGGAGGTGTAGAGGAATATCATTTTTTAAAAACTATGGACTACCTTCTAATTCTGTTCAGCTGGAACATTTCTGTAGAAATACAAAGATTGCAAGAGGACAGAAGCATAAAATTGTCTCAGACTAATAGTATCAAACGCCTTTTCTTCTGCTATATAGTTGCTGTCCATAGATTTACCTGTGTTGTGAACTTTATTTGTACTACCTTTTAGAGTTACAAAACCATTTACTAAATTCCTGACTCCAGACTTTTACTCAGTTTGTTTGTGCCTTCTGTTTGCCGCTGGTTAACAAGTCTGTTGTCTGTCTACTTTGAAATATTTCTGGAATTGGTTCATTAAAGGAAAATTTTAATGCCCTAAATTGTTGAGAGACAAAACTGTAAATCTCTTCTCTTTCTTGGGGGTAGCATCTACTTCGTACCTACTGACCTATATTACTGTGTTCTCTCTTTTTTTTTTTTTCTAGTCTTCTGTCCCAGGGGATATCCAAGGAGATGGGTTTCCATGATAGTTGGAAACTATTTGATAGTTTTTATTCTCAGGAGAAAACTAAATGACCTCTTTCTAATACAGTTCTCTCTCTCATTTACATTTCCCAGAAGCCCAGTGAAGTTAGCCATGGTAGGTGTTACCTCTTTGAATCTGATAGTTCATATGTTATATTTGAAAGTGTAATTTTAGTAGAGGCTTCTGTAGTTCCAGGAAAAATATAAATGATTAATATTAGATTTTTCTTTAAGCCATTATCTTGTCACAGATACTGTAGCCAAGAGGTTAAATATACCTTTTTCTTTTTTTTTTTTTTTTTTTTGAGACAGAGTTTCACTCTTGTTGCCCAGGCCGGTGTGCAGTTGCGTGATCTGGGCTCACTGCAACCTCCGCCTCCCAGGTTCAAGTGATTCTCCTGCCTCAGCCTCCCGAGTAGTTAGGATTACAGGCATGTGCCACCACGCCCAGCTAATTTTTTGTTTTTTTAGTAGAGACGTGGCTTCTCCATTTTGGTCAGGCTGGTCTTGAATTCCCGACCTCATGTTGGGGTTCAGGGGTTCAGGGGAGCCCTCCGCTTCCCTGAGAGAACGTTTCTCCAGGTTCTTGGTCTGTCACTCTGAAGAATGAGGAGACCACGGCGCAGTGTGCTCATAAAGTAAAATGCCTGACTCAAAAAGTGGTTGCAGAAAGTGATTTATTTAGATAGAGAAAAAGGAGAGAGAGGAAGAAACAGCTAGCTCTTACACTGAGTGAGTGAAAGAAAAGCCGCTTTCACACTGAATGAGAAGGGTTCCCAGAGGGGGAAAACCAGAGAAGGAAAGCTCCTCTCACACTGAGTGAGAGAATCCAGAAAGATGGAATCCAGGAGAGGAAAGACAGCTTCCACACTGAGTGGAAGGGAATTGAGAGAGAGAGATGGGGTTTAGGAGAGGAAAAGCAGCTTCCACACTGGGTGGAAGGGGACCCCAGAGGGGGAAAATCTAGGAGGGGAAAGAAAGCTCCCACTATGTGGGAGGGCATTCCAGAGAGCTGGAGATCTGGTGTGCGTGAAGGAGAAATTTTATCCTGGGAAAAATTCCCACATCCCCAAGTTCCTTTGGCCAATGAAAGGAGTTCCTTTAAACTTCCGCTGGAGTGATTGACTCTTAGTTTCTTCCCGAGTCTCCTGGATGGAGAGAGATGGATGTGGGGGTGGGAGAGGCATGGCGCTGGGAAGTTCTTGCCCTTAAAACTACGCCCCCTCGTGGACCCGGTAAGAGAATGCATTCGCTCACTCGTGATCTACCCACCTTGGCCTCCCAAAGTGCTGCGATTATAGGTGTGAGCCACCATGCCGAGCCTAAACATGTCGTTCTTTTACCACCTTTTGTCAGCCTGTATTTGTCTCAACCCAAAATGGGTTTACTGTGACAACATTTTTTGTTTTTTGTGTTTTTGGAGTTAGTCTGTCCTGGTATCCAATAATACTTTCATCTTGCTAGCAAACTATGTTCTTTCTACTAACAGATAAGTTTTTTGCTTCTTAGTTATGGCCCTCCTATTTAGAAAAAGGATGGCCATGGCTTTGGCTCATACTTGTATCTGTACTTAGAGTTTGCTTATAAACTCTTGATTACATATAGCCATCGTGGATTTTTAATCCTGCAAGTCCCTGTGGATCCAGCTGTTAAGGATCACCTGTTTCTTCTAAACTAGGGTATTCAAAGTGGGTAGTATATCAGTCTAAGACAGGGATTGTGATATAGAAAATAGCTTTACAAAGATTTCCTAATCATTTTGGTAGCACATTCTACAGAAACCTACTATAGTAAAATCCTCCTGCAGTGAACAGGCTAGTAAAGAAAGATGCGTTTATGCCACCACCTATCAAAGATGGTATGGTATGTCTTTGGAGATACAAGTTTATTAGTAGTTGACTGGATAACATTATATTCAAATTGAATTTTATCTATCACTTTTCTTATTGTATACATTGTTATCTTGTATCACCCTAAAATTTATCCCCAGTAGTTTGACATATTAGGTAGAGTTTAGTGCCATCTTGGCATATTAGGTAGAATTTAGTGCCATCTTTTAGCTTAGAGATTTAAGTATGAGTAGTTTTAGTGTTAGTTTCAGAATCCACCCTGAAACTCTATAGAGTGTAACTCTATTGCAGAAGTGGTGTTTTAAGGAACTTTTTCATATTCCTAAGTTTGTTTTATAGCCATCACAAGGTTTTTTTTTTTTTAGACAGAGTCTTGCTCTGTCACCCAGGCTGGAGTGCGGTGGCATGATCTCGGCTCACTGCAACCTCCACCTCCCAGGTTCAAGCAATTCTCTGCCTCAGCCTCCTGAGTAGCTGAGATTATAGGCATGCACCACCATGCCCGGCTAATTTTTGTATTTTTAGTAGAGACGGGGTTTCACCTTCTTGGCCAGGCTCGTCTTGAACTCCTGACCTTGTGATCCACCTGCCTCGGCCTTTCAAAGTGCTGGGATTATAGGCATGAGCCACCATGCCAGGCTGGAACATCACTTTTTTTTGAGACAGTGTTGCCTGGGGATCACAGCTCTCTGCAGCCTCAACCACTGAGACTCAAGTGATCCTCCTGCCTCAGCCTCCCAAGTAGCCGAGACTACAGGCGCACACCACCATACCAGGCTAATTTTTGTAGAGGCAAAATTTTGCCATATTGCCTGGGCTGATCTTGAGCTCCTGGGCTCAAGCAGTCCATCTGTCTCCGCCCCAAAAATGCTGGAATTGTAGGTGTGAGCCATTGTGCATTGCCAAGAAAATTTTGAGTGAAACTTAGAGGATATAAACTATCTACTTGTTTTCTTAAAGATACTATTCTTAGTTATTTAAAAGCATCAAATGAATTAGTGATGATTATTTTTAAACTCCAGTCCGTTTCCCCCTTGAAATTTACTGGATCATGGAATACTCTAGAGTTTGCCGAGCTTAGAAGTCAGATTTTACTGGTTTTTAATTAGCAGTATATCAATTCTAACATGAGATAGTGTATTAATCTGTTTTGTGTTGCTCTAAAATACCTGAGACTAACTTATAAGAAGAGAAGTTTATTTGGCTCACAGTTTGGCAGACTGTATAGAAGCATAATGCCAGCATCTGCTTCTGGTGAGGCCTCAGGAAGCTTTTACTAATGGCAGAAGGTGAAGGGGGAGCAGGCAAGTCACATGGCAAGAGAAGGGAGCAAGAGACAGAGGAAGGAGATCTCATGTGAACTCATGACAGCAAGGAGGGCACCAAACCATTCCTCAGGGATCTGCCCCCATGACCCAAACACCTCCCCAGTAGGCCCCTCTCCAACATGGGATTAAAGTCACACATTTCAACATGAGATTTGAAGGGGGAGATATCCAAACCATCTCAGACAATTTGTAAAATATTTTGGCTAGGATTTTCAGAATTTTTTCCTTGAGTACTTTCCCATCTCTTCGCCTCCCCTCCCCTCCCCTCCCCTCCCCTCCCCTCCCCTCCCCGCCTCCTCTCCTCTCACCTCCTCTCCCCTCTCCTCTCCTCTCCCCTCTCCTCTCCTCTCCTTTCTCTCTTTCTTTCTTTCTTTTCTTTTTTTTTTTTTGGGTAGGGATGGCGTTTCACTCTTGTTGCCCAGGCTGGAGTGCAATGGCGTGATCTTGGCTCATTGCAACCTCTGCCTCCCAGGTTCAAGCGATTCTCCTGCCTCAGCCTCTGGAACTGTAGGTGTGGTCACCACACCCGGCTAAGTTTTTGTATTTTTAGTGAGACAAGTTAGCTGTGTTAGCCAGGATGGTCTTGATTTCCTGACCTCGTGATCCGCCCGCCTCCCAAAGTGCTGGGACTACAGGTGCGAGCTACCGCGCCCGGCTTAGTTTACGTTGCTTTCTTCTGAAGAATAACTCATCCTGAGAATAAATCCTTCAGATATGTTTTGTGAAATAAATTTTGTAAAATAAATAATCCTAAAGTTGTCTATGTTACATAAGTATGTGCTGAGGCTATCAGAAGTTACTGTTAAATAATTTTATGAGTTTTTTAAATGACCCTGTTTGCATATGTATCTCTACTTGCTGAAAGCTTATTTTCTTTCTCTCTCTCTCTTTCTTTCTTTTTTTTCTTGGCAGCGGGGATCAGAGTCTCCCTCTGTCTCCCAGGCTGGAGTGCAGTGGTGTGATCTTGGGTCACTGTAACCTCTGTCTCCTGAGTTCAAGCTATTCCCTTGCCTCAGCTTTCTGAGTAGCTGGGACTACCAGTTCGTGCCACCATGCCTGGCTAATTTTTGTATTTTTAGCAGAGGGAGGGTTTTACCATGTTGGCCAGGCTGGTCTCAAAATCCTGACCTCAAGTAATCCCGCTACCTCCGCCTCCCAAAGTGCTGAGATTACAGAGGTGAGCCACCATGCCCAGTCTGAAAGCTTATTTTCTAAAGGGAAATTTATCTCAACAATTTATTGATTTGGAGATTGTATCTCATTGAAGAATGGTTACTTCATGTCTAAAGACTTATCATGTATTATTATTCTGTGTTCAGTAGCATGGCACTGTTGGTTAGGAGTTTACTTCCTGTCTCATTACAGTGTTAACTTGTTGCTCATAAAACAATTCTCTTAAGATTGATACATCCTGAATATGTGCTAACATATATCAGTTTATAATTTTAAATAGAATGTATTAATAAGATATCTTTTTAAGGTTTGTGTGAACTACTATTTTCCTGAAAGAACTAATTTATTTGTCACTGTATAATTGAAAGCATATTGCACTTTGTATTCACGGGTTTGGGGGAGGCAAATCAGACATTTAAACTATGTACTTCTTGCTAATTGAAATTATTTCTACATTAAACAAACTTGTAGAATGTACTTAAACATACTTGGCTTTTTAATTATCTTTTTCTCCTTTTCTTAAAGATGATACTTGTTGATGCCACTGTTATCATCCTCCTAGCAGAAGATAGTCCTACTGAGAAAATGAGCACTTTGATCATTCAGTCTTTGAACTTTAACCTTTGACTGGAAGTGACCTATAGGCAATGAAGACTTCTTCCTTTTACTGCATTTTTACTCGTGTGCATTCTGGGCGCATGTTGATCGCTGGTTCAGTCCAGGCAACTGACATGCTTTTATTAGTCATACAGTATTAATGCAGGTGTCAGGAAACGTCAAATATAATTCCATTTTTTATTTTTATTTTTTTAAGCTTTTGGAAAAGCTCCAGGTCCTCATGTATTGTGCAATAACAATGACTTCCTTGGCGGTTTTGGTACGTTCATTGCCGGCAATGGACGTTGTAACAGGAAAAGTTTTCATTAACTCCTGCCACTCAATGATTAATGCATGATAGGGCCTATGAAATGAACTTATCGGTTATAGTGGGAATATAAATAAAGTGAGGGATCCAACGTTACTTTAAAAGTCACCCCAACTGTTTATATTTGGATTCTATGCACTGTGATCCTAAGATTAACAGCATGAATTAACATGCGTCTTTAAAGGACTGTAATGAAAGATCATTGCGTATTTATTTAATTGTTTATATCTGCTGTCAAGTTGTTTTGACATGGAAGATTTTCAAGTAACATTGGCAGAGAGGTACAGTATGTTATCCCTATGGTGAAAATAAATTCATTTGTTGTTGTATATAGTTCCTCAATCTCTGAAGTAAAGGTATGAGTAATATAGGGTATGAATGGTTTAATCAAGGCTTTATTTTGGAAGTAAGAAAAATGGCAGTGATGATTAAATTGCTGCAGTCCATTATTTGGGCTTATTTGTACATTAAAGATTTTTTTCCAAGTAGATTATACTCTGTTAACTTCCTGCTAGCCATCAGCATGAGCCCTACTGCCTAAACACTATTTCATTTATTTATGTTTGGAAAACCCATAAACATTTTTGTTTGCAATCTTGTTTCTTTTGTTATAAGTCAAGTTTGAATGTTACAGTACTTTTATTGAAAAACTTTTGTTTTTTCTTGTAAATTTTCTTTACTTGTAAGTATCATCTTGTCCTTTAATCCTGTACCCTAAAATAAGAAATACATTTTTGACAGAGGCTTAATGTTTTAACTAAAGAGTGTGGACATTTTTATTTTAAAATTTAGGCAAAAATCGCTATCAGATGGTATATTTGCTTATTTGTCTCACAGCCATATAGTTTTTCCTGGAGGGTTTTGTTTTGTTGTTGTTGAAAAGACTTTGCTTACAGCAAGATAAAATTTTCTATAGAAAAAAAAAAAAATTGTTGAAAGGTCCAGTTCTCAGTACCATGTGAGTTAATGATACTACAACTAAGTTCTTTTTAAAAATAGTGATTAATGTATTTTATAAATTACCTTTTCACATATGCAAAATCTGTTTCTACTGCAACGTTATTTTTACTAATGCCTTACTGTTGCACTCTTTTTGAAATATCCTGCAGTGAATATATGAATCAATTTGGGCTTAAAACTAAAAGCCAGTTGGCTGAAAGGTTTGAAATATGTACCCCAGTAAAACCATTCAATCAATAATTGGTAAATAATATTTTAAAATTGTTTTTAATCTGTATAGATGACATTTTGTAGCTTTGTACATGTTGTTAATTAAGGGCATATAATTTTACACTCTAAAAGTATAATTACTGAACTCAGGGGTGTGGGTAGACTTCAAAAATATGTCTGCTATACAAATAACTTGAAAAAAAAATTAAAGCCGTGGCCAGCCACCAAATTGTGGACACTGTTTATATACTGCTAGTTAACAATGACCACTTTTAAAAAATTACAAACAGTTTTGTTCTATGTTGACTAGATATATATATAAATTCTCACAGTGATCTCTGTCAGTTTTATTGGTTGGCCTGTTTAACCAAGATAGAAAGTTTTTGAATTCCTCATAGTTTTAAACTGCTTTTAATATGAAAATTGCAGTGGTAAATTATGTATTTTCATATTTTACATTACTGCTCTACACTACTGTTTGACTTGATCTTTTTCTGGGGGTGAGGGAGAAATCTGTCTCCATATTGCCGGTCCTCTTAACTAAAATGCTTTTATAAAGAAATGACTGGTGACATTTATTCACCAAAGGAATTAATATACTGGGTCAAACATTAACAATGCTATACTACAGAGTAATAGGTCATATATAGCCTCAATTGAGTTTTTTATAACAATATTTTAACATACCTCTCTCTCTACATATAAATACCATAAAGTAAAATGAAACAGAGGAAAGTAGGAAAGTAGAGGAAAATGAGATAATTTCAGTCATCTTACGGTTTAAAGAGAAGAAAATAAGATGAAATATTCTAAAATGTAGGAGCACAAACATTCAAAATTTATAGTGAGATTAACAACACTCTCTTGAATTTAGGAATCATTGAAAACTCCTTGCACTTAGATTTAATTTATATGTAAGTTACATTATGAAAAGTCATAAGGCGTTTATCTGAGTCATTGCTCTACAGAGGGCAATAAATGAACGGCTTGTAATAATAAAAAGAATATTTCTCTGTAATGTATTGTTGAAAGACAACCAGAATATCAAGAAAGTGTATATAGGAATATGCTCCTTGCCTCCTCCCTGATTCCCTTGGCGGGCACTACTTGCTACATAGGCCTACAGAATTAGACTTTGATACTTAGAAGATAATATACACTCTTCTTTTTTATTTATTTATTTATTTATTTTTAGTCCATTCTTCTGGTTTGCCAAATTCTATTAAGATGGTGATAATATTCACTTCCTTATTTATGCATGCTTAGATCATGAACATGGTGCCCTTCCCTTTTTTTTTTTTTTTTTTTCTTTCTTTTTTTGGTCAAGTAGGGATTAATGTCATAGGTTTTAAACAGAAGGATTGTTTTCAGTTTTTAAGATAATTTTTTTAAAAATACATTTTATGGTTGCTCTCTTAAGGAATTAATACTCACTTTTGAAGGACTTACTTGTGATATGTAATTTATCATTTTAGCCAGCAGGGAAATAAAGCATTTTTAATCCCCAGAAGAAAATGCTGGAAATAGCTTTTATGTAGTCAACAGTTCACCTGGAGAAAGATCTGAATCTTGTTGTTTTGACTAGAAATATCAATATTTGGTATAAAGTAACTAGAATAGTTTATTACCTTTTCCCTTATGAAATTTTAAATGTATGCAAATATATATTATCATTAGATTCCTATGGTGGATAATCCTTTCTTCAGATTCTAAAACAGGTGTCTAGTAACTGCTTAATTGTTTCCAAATTGCATCAAAGATGAATTGGTAAATAATGGAAATGAGTAGTGATATGAAAATGGTTATGTAACTACGTACTGTTTCTAGTAATCAGGTCGTATTTTTTAAAAGCCTATTGTTTTTGAGAATTGAGATATTTAAAACTTGTTATAACTTTTTCCTAAAAATAGAAGAGAAGAGGAGGTACTGTGTGTTCAAAAATTTTTTTAAATAAAGAATTCAGTGTCACTAGTTCTAAGCCTTTATGGTTGCTGCTGCTTATATTTCTTGATCTCACTTTCATTAATTTTTATGTACATATCTTAGCTGAATGCTTAAAATGTCCAATTAACGTGTAACTGTTTATGTAAAGAACTGAAGCTTAACCCATATTCCTCTTTTCTGAGGATTCATTATCAGAATTGGCGACTATACTGTTTTGTGTTATAGTAATGCCCTTACTGCCTGTGCATGATTGAGGTCTGTTAAGAAGGTGTCTTTTAATCTGCACCAACTGGCCACAGTACTCTTCGTAGTCCTTTTAAAATTTTTTAAAATCCCTTCTTTATTTTTCTTCCTATTTTCCTGTCTCTTCCCACAGAGGTCCAATGTATTAGTCTTCAGCAGTTTCCTTTTCTCACTTCTAATTTTTTTTGTGTGTGTTTGGTTAGGGAATCTAGAGAAAGATGATATTAAAATTATGCCATAAATTTTTGAAAAATTTAAAAAGGCTCTCTTTCCAGGGGGTGTGGTGGCTCACGCCTGTAATCCCAGCACTTTTGGAAGGCTGAGGTGGGCAGAACACCTGATGTCGGGAGTTCGAGACCAACCTGACCAACTTGGTGAAACCCCGTCTCTACTAAAAATACAAAATTAGCTGGGCATGGTGGTGCATGCCTGTAATCCCAGCTACTCGGGAGGCTGAGCAGGAGAATTGCTTGAACCCAGGAGGTGGAGGTTACGGTGAGCTGAGATCCCGCCACTGCACTCCAGCCTGGGCAACAAGATTGAAACTCTGTCTCAGAAAAAAAAAAAAGAAAAAGAAAAAGGCTCTTATTTGTACAAATAAAACACATGGAATTTCTGATACTGATTTCAGTTCATCAGTAGATGGATGGCTAAATTTGTTGAATAATTACTTGGTAAATGAGCTGTTAGCTGCAATTAGTTCTTCATTACTAATATTAAGGAAATTTTTATTATTTTTGGATGAAGACTCCCAAAGCCTAATTATTGCCCTTGCAAATTATTTTTCCATTTAAATTTCTAAGTCATTTTGAGATGTGGAATTATTACTATTTTTTTATGTTTTTTGAGATGGAGTCTTGCTCTGTCGCCCAGGCTGGAGTGCAGTGGCATGATCTTGGCTCATTTTAACCTCCACCTCCTGGGTCTAAGCAATTCTCCTGCCTCAGCCTCCCGAGTAGTTGGGATTACAGGCATGCACCACCACACCTAATACTTGGTTTTTTTTTTTTTTTTTTTTTTTTTTTTTGAGACAGAGTCTCAGATTGTCACTCAGGCTGGAGTGCAGTGCCATGATCTCAGCTTACTGCAACCTTTGCCTGCTGGGTTCAAGCGATTATCCTGCCTCAGCTTCCCAAGTAGTTGGGACTACAGGTGCACACCACCATGCCGGCTAATTTTTTGTATTTTTAGTAAAGATGGGGTTTCACCATGTTGGGCAGGCTGGTCTCGAACTCCTGACCTCGTGATCCGCCCACCTCAGCCTCCCAAAGTGCTGGGATTACAGGCGTGAGCCACTGCGCCCTGCCCAATTTTTGTGTTTTTAGTAGAGACGAGGTTTCACAGTGTCAGCCAGGCTGGTGTCAAACTCCTGACCTCAAGTGGCATGAGCCACCGTGCCCAGCCTGGAATTATTTTTTAAAAATAATTTATGGGAGATGCTTTCTCAACATGAATTGTGTATGGGTTGTTTTTGTTTATGAGACAGGGTCTTGCCCAGGCTGGAGTGCAGTGGCACAATCATTGCACCATTGACCTTCTTGGCTGAAGTACTCTTCTCCCTCAGCCTCTCCTGAGTAGCTGAGTCTATAGGTGTATGCCAGCATGCCTGGAGACATACATATATATATTTTTAAGACACGAGAGCTCACCACGTTGCCCAGGCTGATCTTGAATTCCTGGGCTCAAGCATTCCTCCTGCCTCAGCCTCCCAAAGTGCTTGGGTTACAGGTACAAGCCACCATGTCTGGTCTGTTTGCTAATATAAAGATACGTTTATGTGCATTATTATCATTAGAGGCACATAAAATCTAGAAGTACTTGAAACAGCTCTCTGTCCTGAAAGTTGAAGTTAGGGTTCAGTGATCCTGGTGAGATGTTAATTGTAATTTTAATTTTCACATGTTAATATTGTGACTTGTATTTTGTGATGTCTTCAGAATGATTAAATGACTATTTTTTTAATGAAAAAAATGTTTGTTAAAATAGGGTATTTTGAATATGTGGAAGGAATGCTGAATAGGAGCTGATCTATTTTATCATACCTCAAGAACTCCAGTTTTATTTGGTGAGTGAGTGACTGGGAAAAGGAGAGATCCAGTTCTTGTTCTATTTCTTGGCACATAATACTCCCTGGGTTTTGAGAAAAGATTGGTCCTACAATAATTTTAAGCTATTTTCTTACTGGTTCTACAACAATTCTAAGTTTTCTCAAAGGCAAAATATGATTTCAAAATGACATCACTTGTCAGATTTTCTGGTATGTGGAAAGATTGAATTATCTTGCCTCTTTTGAAGCCTGAAACATAAAATTTAAAGCCTGAAATCTACCATAAGGAACTTGGTAAATTTTGTCAGATACCATGAAAATGGCATCTCTTCATAGTTAACCACACATGGCTTATGTAAAGGCAAATTGATGGTCAGGCTCAAGGTAAGATAATTACTTGAATGGATTATTGAGTTGATTATCTAGTAGCCAAAAACTAAATGCATGTTCAGGTCAAAATGAATTTGTTCATTTTAGTTGGTACCATTTTCCTTTCATCATTCAGAACTACAGATTATGCATTTTATTAACAGGAATGAAAGCTCATGCTTGAGGATTTGAATAAGGTGGATTTATGTATTTTATAAATTCAAGTTGCAAAATATGTAAGGTCACTACTTTTTAAATAGAATATAAATGTTAAGACATAAATCTATGTTATATATTTTTAAATACATGTATCAGACTTGTTGAATGCAGATTACTTTGTGTGCTTTATGGAATTTCATAACTTTTAATAATAAAGCAGTTGTCATTGAATTTTTTCTGTAGACTTGAATACTAAATTGGATAGATACCAGACCTCTTTTTAGTTTATGATGTAAAACTTTATTTGTACAATAGTTTCTCTTTGCAAAAGATTGCGTTTTAAAGGATTATGGAAACAGGAGCATGTACATTTCCAAAATGAGTGCAACAGAATGAAGATAGTCACTTAAACCACCTATTTAACACATCATCGTTGTGTAATATATAGCTAGTTTTAGTGTTTCTTTGTGTTTTAATAAGTCACAATTAAAGACTGAGTGTTTTCAGAGAAGATGGAAATGGAGACCTGGGCACTTGCTTAGAGTTATCGTGAGTCTGATGTTGCTGAACTTCAAATTGTACAATTAATTACGGACATACTGTAAAGAACTTCTGGATGCTTTCTGGAGTAT